ACGTGGGGGAAATCCTCATAGGACATCCCGGTCTCCCTGGGGGGGGGAAAGCCGGGATAGTGCCGGACTCTTACCGGCTAAAACCCCCACGGTGGCCTATTCTGGCAACTCCAGGGAGCATCGGGTATTCTTATCGAATATTTCCGATGCTCCCTGTGCGTTGCCTGTTAACGGTACTTCTTAGAGGAGCAGATTAAAATGCCCCTCAAATTATGCTATTAGTGACGCCGGGGCCACACCGGCGCCACCACCTCGGACTGCCATTTTATCGACACGGGCCCCCACCCGTGACGATGGCGGTCCTACGGTCCCTGCTGATAAAACTAAGGAACACCATGAAACTCCCAGCCGTCAAGAGTTAATGTTATAACTAAATCCGACTCGTGTATTCGAAAATCCGGGTTCGTATGCTTCTCTTGCCCGCTCTATATAGACCCTGAATGATTATTTCTTATTAATCCATCAGTCGATATAATGATATTTCTTTTAAAAAGATATCTGATCATGTATATTGAAAAAATCTTTAATTCTGTAGATAATTAAATTTAATTGATTATTTCTTAAACCAATAAATTTTAGCTATACATATTTTAGCAGTTTATTTATACAGAATTCTGTTTTTATTTATACATAAAAAAATAGATAATTTTATTTAAATACAACAAATTAATCTTTATACTGTCTTTGTCCTTTGTCCTTTGTGTTATCCGAGGGAAAAAATAATTACATAGTATTATATCCCTTTTAAAACTACTTAACTTTTATTTGAAATATTTTTTAATATAAGAAAGAAAAAAGCCTAATATATTAGAAAATACTCTTGAGACACTCAGTATATTATATTATATAATCGGTTATATTTTCATATTAAAAACAAACGAGATATTTCAAATAATAAAAATACAATGCTCTGTTTTAAATTATTCAAAAACATTAAAAAATTATAAAAAAACGCACTAAGAATGACTGTTTTCACTTAATGACTGATAGAAGCAAAAAGTAAGTATTCTGATATTATGATTAAATTGTGAAAAAAAAATGTTTTAAATCTTTGAAAAAATGACAACATTAAAAAAAATAATAAGAAATTAAGTACTATAAATATATGATAATTATATAAGTATTACTTTTAAATTTATTGTTTTCATATATATCATGATTTATATTATCAAATTTTATTAATAAAATGTCAACTCTTGACAATGTTAAAATGAAAATATATTTAGTTATTATTATCAGAACGTCTCTATTTTTGGTTACATGTCAAACTTTGTATAGACAAGGAGATTAAATTGTGTGAGAAAGATAGAGATAGAGTAAAAATTGTGATTCAGCGCCATCTTCAGAGTGCCGCAAATGAAACACAGTATGTAAGGACAGAAAATAGAAAAAAAAAGATAGATATATATTAAGAATTAACTACCGTTGCCATCTTTTTAATATTAAAGGAAACTAGTTGTTCAATAGTAGAAGAGAGCGAGAAGTGACTATTGTCTCCATCTCTTAACTTCTGAAAACATTTCTTCATTGACAAACTTCATGAAGTATTGAAAAGATGACGCTAGTAGTTAATTTTAATTTTTTCTTACCATAGAACTACCAATTTCCTTTGATACTTGAGAGATGGCATTGATAGTTAATTCTTATTTTATATCTATCTCTTTTCTTTTATTTTCTGTCCTTGCATACTGTGTTTCATTTGCGGCACTCTGAAGATGGCGCTGATTCCATAATTTTTACTCTATCTCTGTCCTTATCTTACTATTTCCTTTCCTTGTCTATCTATAATGACGTTTGATTACAGATAAATTATAAAAACGTCAATGTACTTTTATAATTTCTTTTTTTAAAAACTATAACGTCCTAATTCTACATATGCATATAAATATATTTGGAATATTTAATTTATATAATTAATTAATTTTTTAAATTTATTAACTTCATATTTAAATTTTATTTTATATAAAAAGAACATTACATGAAATACTTATTCAATATTTTTTTTCATTATTTTCATAATTTCTATTATTCAAATCATATTAAATCAAAATAATTGAAATTCCCTCAATATAATCATAGACGATAGTAAATTTGTATATCTTTAGGTGTCAGCAACAAAGCAAATGGCGAATACTGTCAAAGGAACATTGAATTATCAAATAAACGAAATCTAATTTTAAGAATTTTTCTTATTAATTTTTTATTATGCTGATATTTACTGTATAACAATCACTCATATTTCGTATTTTTCTTATAAATGTAGCAACACTTTCGTATGAATTTCTCGTAAAAATCGATAAATTTCAAGGGTCAAACGTCGAACTTGCGCGCAGGTTTCTCTTGAAGTGTTATTTCTCTCGTAAAGGATCTACGCGTCAAAATGTCCACGTCGGTGACAGACAAGCTTCTAGATGATATGAACAGCATACCGTTGGCAGACGATGATCCACAAGGTAGGAAAACTTGTGTACCACGTTTCTGACCTACTTTTCATAATTTCAGTATCGCATATTTCATTATAACCTATTCTTAGATATTTCTTACTTTTTTGAGAAATATTTAATATTTGCTTTAGATCAAATTTCGCTGCATGAATTATTAAATCATGATTTTAATGAAAAATTAATTTAAAAAAAAAATGAATATATTTGTTATATATTACATGTTTATGTTTTTTATTATATTTATTAATATATTTGAGATTAATGTAATTAACTCTATCAATTAAATCGCAACGAATATTTTTTTAATGTTTTTCAATTTTTGGATATAGAGAATAAAGAATTATTTGAAAAATATTTAAAAATTTTTATTTTTATAAATAATTTCATATATTATAAATGATTTCTTAAAAATTTTTGTTTGGAATTTTGTTTGAAATATATGATTCTTATGAATATTAAGAAATTATTATATATAGTTATAATACCTGAAGAAGAAGTTCTGGATAATAGTTGCCACATATCAGATGCTCTTGGTAGTGGACATAGCATGGATTCTATACCATCTACATTCACAAATGGAAGTTGTAGTCCTAATAGTAAGTCAAAAGTTTTAATTTTATAATTTTATGAAAGAGTTAAAATATTTTATATCTTTAATATTTTATAATTATAGGTTTAGATCCTGATATAAGCCCAGATGAACAGGAAGAGAAAGCTAGATTGATTGCTCAAGTGCTTGAACTTCAAAATACATTAGATGGTGAATATATTTTTAAATTATATTAATATAATTATTATATTTTGTTATAAAATATTTTACTTAAAATATTTTTTTATTGTCAGATTTATCTCAAAGAGTGGACAGCGTAAAGGAAGAAAATTTGAAGTTGAGAAGCGAAAATCAAGTGCTAAGTCAATACATTGAAAATTTAATGTCTGCATCAAGTGTTTTTCAATCTACAAGTCCCAACACTAAAAAAAAGTGAATTCACGTTGTTATATTAGATGATAGATGTTAATGAAACAGAAATCTTAAAATAATGTGATCTTTAATCCTTGAATGAATAGTACGTACATATTTTTGATTATAATTGCTTCTTATTTAATTAGAAAAGAATAAAATTATTATAGATATGTAGAAATCTCAAAATTTCGTTTAATATATCGTTTATTTTGTATTTATATGTTTCATTAATTTGTGTACGTACTTTTCATGCTTATTTGAAAGAAAAGAATTACACATATTTCTTTTGAAACACATATTCGAATTCATTCAACTTTACAATTCAAATGTGTGTATCAGAAAAAAATCATTGTTTAATTTTTATTTTTTAGTCAAATGCTTTTTACTTATAAAACGCTTATGATTGTTATTTATTTGCCAAAGAATTCCATTTTGTATTTATGCAATTAAATGTCGTAAAAAGAATTTAAACATAAAGAATTTCAGTTATGATTTAATATAAAGTTTTATAAAGAATAAAATATACGACTTATGTAATATTAAAAGATAAAATTAATACTTGTTAAGATTCATAATTATCGATTTCTTGATATTTACAGGTGTATGATTCGTTTCCAATATTAAATCATATTTGTTGAAGTTAATTATCGCTCTTTGACATATTAATAAATAAGAAATAAGGGTAATAAATGTTTGTAATTACGATATTTAATCAAACATCAACATTTTTTTAATTGAAGCTTTCGCTTAAGAGTTTCGATATACGTGTATGCAATGTATGTAGATGTACAAAAGAGATAAGAAATAATTATATATATATATACACAATTACATATAAATATAAATATATTACATATAATTATATAATATATTACGACATATATTAGCGTTCTATATAAATTACGATATAAATGCTGCGAGCACAGTGTAAACTTTAAATTAATTCACTTAACTGACTGAATAAAAATTCCATTGACACTTTGCCTGCAGCATGATCGATCAACGATTGTAATTGATAAAAAAAAAGAAATGTATTGCAATTTTAAAACTGCAACTTGAAGTTTCAGTTGAAGGGCACAAGCAGAATGCACAATCTATTGTTGAGTAACACAGTGTTATAATAAACATTATATTCTATTGGAAAACAATTATTTATTTCTCATAGAAAATAACGAATTTTTATATTTTTCCTGTTGAGAACATTTGATTTTCGTTGTTAGTAAAAAATTATATTTATTACAAAGTTTTATATTAATTCGTATTATGCGTTTGATTTGTCGTTTGACTATAATTTATTTCATTTAAATTTTTATTTTTTTTATTTTTCTTGGTCAAGAATTCAAATAACTCTATATAATTTAATATGTAAATATGTATAAAATATTCATAGAAATTATTCTTGTCGTATAGCTAAAAATTGTATCGATTTTTGGCCCCAACTAGTTCTTGGTCCTGGTTTCGCACGACCATTCTTCTTTATTCCTATCCACCATCCGTAATTCGCATACTTTCGTGATCGAAAAGCATCGTAAGAACCAACGTTCCATTGTTCCCATTCAGTATTATCTTTATTTCCATTTAACTAGAAAAAAAGAAAATTAACGTATATGAATATTCATTAATTTAATTGACACGAAAGAAAATTTTTTTATTCATATTTTATTAAAATACATTCAATTCGTATAGAAATCTTACATTATTTGCCTTACCTCTCCATACAAACGACCTTTCTTGTTGAAAGCCAGATAAAGACTGGTCTCGATATTTTGTATTCGTACCACTCCAAATGATACCGGTATAATATGAAGCAAAGCTGCAAATTAGATACGAATCTTTTTAAAAAAATTAAAACTCAAATACTTCAATATTTCCCGTTAATTTTACCATGTGGCTCATTCGTAGCACTCAAGCCTCGAACACGACCGGACTCCGACACACCGAGATGATATCCGGTTCGACAGAACAATTTGATTACCAAACAATTGTACACAGGATTTTGTGCCGGTTTCCTAGGATCCCATATTACGCAAGGCGAGCGTTTAACCGATTCCGCCGTGATGTAATGCGAAGTTCTGTAAGAGAGAATTCAATATTTAGAGTCTTCAAACACGCACCTGACGTCTATAAACGTAAATACCAAGTCCACAAATATACACTTAATTTTAACAATACTCTCTTAAAGAGAGAAACTTTTTAAACCATTACATGACAATTCGTTTAAATTTTTCTCTCTCTTAAAAAAAAAAAAGAAAAATGGCGTATATTATTTTAAAAAGAACGAAAAACTTGATTTATTTACTCGTACTTTCAATTTTATTATTCGATAAATTAAAAAATTTCCATTTTCACAATGGTGAATTCATATTTAAACGATAGAATATTGTTCTTGACCAAACAATGGTGGCGAAGACAGGATACGGTATAGTAGAACACGAATCTGATACGAAGTGACAGGAGGCATGCTATTTATAACATATCATTACGTTTGGAAAAATGGGCCGATCGACTTTTCAGGTCAGCAAGCTTCGTGAATGAAGCGTGCTTCGTTACACCGTAGACGTTTTCCAACCCCGTTAATTTTAAACAAATGCTTGAGGGGAAGGAACGCAATGCCGACAGACTTTATTCGACAAGCGGTGCGCATCAACCAACGATAATCAAGCTAATGGTATCAATCAATCGAGATGTAAAAAGTATATTAATAATTTTCTTGAATTCAAGGGAGAGCACTTTATGGAAGATTGATATAATTTTTAAAATTGAAAGATATCGAATTACATTATAATCCTTCCTTCATCCAAATATCTTTCATATCTTCAACACCTTTTTAATCTGAAACATGAAATTTGATTATTTTTACATTCTATTCGCTATTCAAAATAATTGAAAATTTATCAAAACAAATTATAAGCAAGTAACAATATTTTTCTATGATTTTAACCATTCTCTATCGATCGATTTAAAGAGAAATATTTTGATTCTATTGATTCTGAACAATATAAACAAAATATAACGAATAATATGCATGATCGTCTTCATTGGATACAATAAAATTTCACGAAAATTAAGTAATATTTATCGCAAAGGATATACTGTGTCACGAGTGGTAAATTTTAGTAAAATCTATTTGCAAAAATTCCTCCATTTCTAAATAAGTTTATTTATTATCTTATTTGCAGTAATTACTTCTCCCTTTCGAATGAAAAGTGTCCAAAATCCTGCGTATATTTTAACGGAAGCGCGATCGAATACAAAGTAAAGATTTTTCTCGACGAAACACAATATTCCAATTTAAAATTCACCGAGTTTAAAAATGATTACGTCTTGACATTGCGCAAATACGCCCCCGTTAATTACGCGTTGAACGTGCTACGATCTATTTGTTGAAACTCGAGCATACACGGTCATAAACGTCGATCCTAATTTTGTGTTGCACGTCGTGCGTGCGTACTTTAATGCAATTCGCGCGGAATTGCAGCCTCGTCGGTTGCCACGGTGCTCGAATGCCGGTAATAATATAACGTGAACCGTACCTACTCCCTACACCTAGTGACCCTGCAACAATATAGAGCAGAAAGTTAATCGAATCAAGTGATCAATGAATGCATATCCCATATCGTTGCGTGGGGTGGCTGATGGCTCTTCGTCAATTTTGTAATTTCAAGGTGTCACGGTATTTTGCGTCTTTTTTCAAACAAAGCGTCACGTAAAAATTGCGTAAAATATTGGGAAATTGTATTATTCTATTATTGTATTATTGTTGGAAATTATTTGGAAAATAAAATTGATCAGATACTTTTAAACTTTCGGATTGAATTTTACAAGGAAAACATCTTGACATCTTGAAATATTTGTTTGCGAAAGAAGTACGATTCTTTTCTTCTCCATTCTATATTACTTTTTCATTTCCATGCTGCAAACAGAATTGAATGAAATATGACAACACGTCGAGAGAAATAATACGCTATCATATTTTATCGTTCACTTACAACTTCTGTCTGTCTGAGAATTTTGAGAAAAACATTTAGTTGGCACTTCTTGGATTCCAATTTTACATCGGTTTATCGAAAACAAAAAGAAAATCGAAAGTCAACGATATTGGAACACAAAGATAGAAACATTTTTTGAACAAATGTATTTTCACATACATTTACTTGAGACTGTTTCTAACGAATCAATCAAAACTGATTGAATCGCGATCAAACGTTTTGATCCATTTAATTATCCACAATTGACACGAAAATCTGCGAAACATCGTACCGAATTTTAAACATTGGCAGAAGAATAAAACGCAATTTACCTCTACATGAACGAACCGAACAATAACTTCGCAGATGTAATTTCCCTCTAACGTGTTCCTGCAATAAGCGTTCATTAATCACTTGAATTAATTCTCCATCTAGCGTACCGCAAGAAGTTAACAGTTTTAAATTCCTATTATTCATATCTAGTCCCCTACGTTCCTATCGAATCTCGAAGGTGAAATTAATCAATGTATGTCGTACATTGTAAAAGGGTCAATGGACAAAGCTTTCAAGTTTCTAAAAGAGAAACGAATGGTTAAAGGATAATTATTATATGGTAAACAAAAGCTCGGAGACGTGGACGGTGTTGCACAAGGAACTGTAACGAGTTCATCGATCATCTAACTAGATTTATTTTCTGCCTCGTACACCGTCGTAAAGTCGCTTTAAATTTATCAATCTTCGTGACGTTTTAATTTATAGATCGTTAACCGGGGATTAATCGAACGGATAATTAAACAGCCTTCTTATCTTATGAGCAGAATATTGTTTAAAACATTTTTTAATATACGTTGACTTAATAGATTTTATCTTGTTATATTTGTTTCACCTCATTTTCCAATTAGATCATTATAATCAATTAAACCTTGGTAATGGCCGATTTTTTTCTGAAAAATCACATTGAACAAGTTGAACAGTTGTTATACGAACGCATTGGATTTGTCTAGTTCTTAAACGAACCGGCAATGTACAAAAAATAAAAAACAAATATAATTTTGTTAAACAATAGATTCGTTCTTGCATCAATTTCTTAAAGCAGAAATACTTTATGATTATTTTTAAGAATGTGAAAATTTGATAATAGGGCTTTCACAATGAGTTACTCGTGAAATATTCAATAATTAAAACGATTTTCGAGAACAACTCGTAAATATTTTACTCTCAAATATTCGCACTCTCAAAGGCGAATAATTCAATAGTTTGATATTGTAATATAAAATATTCGAAAATGAAAACGTTTGTTAATTTTTAAAAAATTCTTTAAATACAATACACAATTGAATCGAAAGTGGCAGGAACAACGAAGCAAGATTGAATCTTATTCATAAATGAAAATGGTCTAAACTCAGAGACAGGAAGAGAATAGCTAAATTTCGATACTTGGCGTAATTAATTATTAGATACCAGATTTCCCGCAGAGCAACAAGTTAATTTCCAGCAATTTAAATATCAAATAGAATTTTAATTGGAAAATCCTTTTTTTTTCTAAACGAGGCCAGATTATCAATTAAAGTTTATCATCGAATCGTAACTTGATTAATGCCCGAACAACGTAACGAAGATTCGATCTTATTCTCGGCTATCGACAGCTCGTAATTATCGGCAAAATACCCGTTCTCGTCGAACTTCACTGTAGTGGTCGGATGCCTCCTGGTCTCCCTTTTCCTCCTACGATCCCCATTGATCTCCTTTTCGCTAGCCGGCCCTTTCTCCTCGCCGATCGATAGATCGGAATCGTAGCTATCGTCGCTACAACTGTCATCGATGTCGCTGCATTCCTCGTCGCATGTCGGTGCCTCTAAGTTCTCGTGAATCCAACGAAGACTCATTCTCTTATGATAATGATCTTCTACCAAGTTGATACCTTGATATTTAAGATAAATATTATATATAGGACGAATGATTTCTTGATGAATTTTCTTCAATTAGAAAATTTAATATTATTTTGATATTTGTATCCTATGTGATTCTTTTTTTGAATTTTATCATACAAAAGATATTTTTTTCATAAATTGATGATGGCGAAAACACTTTTTAAAATTTACAGTATAGAACACTTACAGTAACGATCTATTAATTCATTTTTTAAAAATTACACGATAAAACGTTTCTAAAGATTACGGTGCACTCTTGATACTTTTAAGATAAATTTTATCAGGACGAATAATTGGAATTTAACTATTATTTTAATATTAATATTAGATTCGATATTATACGAATTGTATAAAAGATATTTATATATATAAAAAACTACAGTAGAAATGTATGATTCCAATAATTTATGTTTGAAAAATTATAGAATATTTGACTTAAGATTTTAAATTTCAAGTTTGAAATCAAATTTTACAAATTTTGTGTAGAAAAAGCGCGAAAAAATAAAATTAGAACTTATACGGAATTAAATGTACGGTTCGAAAATAAGCTATAAAAACAATTCGATATAAAAAGCAAACGTGGATAATAAAAAAAGTAATCGAGATTTTACGTAATGCACACCTATTAACAGCATCCCAGGAGAATATAATTGTACTGTTGAAATCGAATAAATGAAGCAATGCAAATACAGTTTTCAATTTATTTAATACTTTGTTGAAATCAATATTACGTCATATCAATAAATAAAAATAGAACTATGAAAAGTTTATTTGTGTTATATTGAATTTTTTATGTATGCTATATTGTAAAAAAGAACTGTTTCTGGTGTAACAAATAGAAAACTAACGGTGGTTCCGGTCTGTTAATGTTTAATTATAGTGATATAGAAATAATACTACGTCTTGTGCACTGATCGATATAATATCATGAATTTTAAAATTTTTTCTCGTAATATAAACTATTAACATGGAAATAAAAAAAATCTATTTAATATTTAATATCTATTCACTTTGTGTTCTTGAAAAAAATATCTAGTTTAATTTATCAAATTTGTGAAATCGATGATTTCTTCGAATCGAAGAATATTAATAAGTGCACTTTTCGCTTATTATCTAAAATTTTGAAATCGCCCGCCTTTCTTTAAATAAAAAATTCACTTTCCAACTTTGCAACACTTATATAAAATAATTCATAAAAAGTTTCACATTTTTTAAAAAAAACATCTTAAACATCTTACTACTTAAAGAATTTAAAAACAAATTCTACTTCAGGAATGCACAATAACATTCACGGGAAAACCATTGAAGATAAGATAAAGAATTCAAACAATTCTTATTTTTTTTTATGCAAATTATTTTAACGATAATTAAACAAAACAAATATATCAAATAGATTCTACTTCTTGGAAAAATTACACTATTATTGAACACTATTGAAAAACGCAGAGATCTAAGCAATTCTTATTCTTATTTGCAAAAAAACCCTCGCAATTACGCAAGGAATTTAAATTACCTAACTCATCCTAGGCCACAAAATCACTCGAAAAAAGAATTTTAAAAATAACAATACCGTATCTCAAAATATCGATTCCACGATTACACAAAATCTCAAATTCCATTCTCGCGAAGATCTACAAAAAAAAAGTCCACTCTTCAAACATGAAACTCACTCCGTATACCACGATTCAATAAAAAAGAACGAGCGTTTCCTCACCTTTCTCAATTTTCTGGATCGTGCCAAATATCCAATATTCCAATTTCCACTAGTGATTCTCACGGTGATCAAGATTCGAAGGAACAAAAACAGAACGATCGATCGACAGTTTTCGAAACACTACGGTCAAGCAACAATTGGCCAATTGATCAGCTGTCCGCGGTTCCGTTTCACGGAGTTCACGGATCCATTGTTCGCGGACGATTCATCGGCGGTCGACGGATGTGCGCCACAGCCTACCCAGGTGCCTCCGCGTTTATCACACGACTGAGCCGGCTCCGGCTACACGTCGTGGCTACACGTTGGATAATACTGGATATGACGCCGGCCTATTGGTTAGACGGCGTAGTAGTCAGCGGTGGTCAGCAATTCGAGGTAGACTAAATTAAAAACGGGTACACGGGAGGCGAAACGCGAGAACTCGACGGAACGAAAGATCTTTTGTCAGCGCGCGCGCGGACTCGCGGAATTCTGTAAACGAGACGGCGACGCCACTCGTCCGAGTAATGATGCCAGTCGAGTACAGACATTTCGAGATTTCATATGTGGAACGTCAACATGGTCTTTCAACCCTTTCACGCTCGAACTTGCGTATATACGTGACACGGCACTTTGGTTAATTACCCAGTAACCGAATATAACTTTTTTTTAAGTGAAACAGGTTTTAAATTTTCTAGCCATTACTATTGGAGGATTTAATCGCGGGTGATCGGATATTTTTCGACGGGAAATATTGTCTTCTTACATGAAAATATATGTTGAACTATGCAATATTCTATGCAAAATGTTGAATATAATTTTATTATATAGATTTATTTATATAAAATATAACAGTGGATAGATTTTCTTGCGATTTTGAGCTGAAAAAGAAATCAGAAGTTTTATTTGAAATATAATTAAATTCGTTTAAATATTTTTATATTATTATTGTGTCTTAATACATCGACGAAGATCTTTTTTACAATTTTTTCTAATCTACTAATAAGTGAAATTTTACGTTATCCTTATGTTATTCTATTACATACCATGAATTTAGAACAATCGTGAATGAGGAGGTAATTTACATCGGTAATTAATATATGCAAACGTATTAATTATCGAACAATGAGAGAATAGTAAGGAAAAAAATAGTTTGTTGAATACGTGCCAATGAATACATGGAATGCAAAATTAATATTTGTTCCATCTCATGTGCATCTCTTATAGTTGGATAACGTTACCTTTATAATGTGGCCAAGTCTGGTCTCCATCGTCAACCACTATGGGACATGTCCGTGGTTCTTTGACATGTAACAACGGTTGTGGTTAATATATATATAGACGACCACTACTCATCTTCCTTAAAAAGTTCAAACTGGATTATCGATGACCAAAGTTCAAGAGTAGTACGTAGACTCGTCTAGGATGGAAGTATCGTTATTCTGTACTCGATACTTTCGCATTGTTCGTTTCGGGTCGATCCTGAATTACCAGTCGTGATACACGAAGCTTCACGCTTTTTTCTCTGAAAATTGAATATAATTACGGAGAAACATTAGTTGCTAATGATTCAAATCTGATTTAATCGCTTGTGTTTTTTAAAGAAATGCTAAATTTTTTTTTTTTTTTGAAGAAAAGAATTTACAGGATGTTTATTCAACAATTCTTGTAACTCTTGCTCTTCCTAATAGTAAACGTCCTCTTGATTAATGCATCGCGTGAAACCACGAATCCCAATCTGCATGTGCATTCTTAGAATCGTTCTTCATTTGTAACTGATATTTTAGAATCTAATGTATCTGTAATATGTATATGCATGATTTCTATAATGATATATACGTATATATGCGATATAAGTAAAGTGTAAAAATGATACGTTATTAAGATCTTGCAATTTTATATTTGTCTCTCTTTTTCAATTTCACTAAAAAAATAAAAAACAACAAACGATTAATAACAATTCATATTTTACAGAATTAAAAAATTTAGGAAAAGCTTGAAATAGATTAAAAGAAAATTCATTAGTTAAATTAACGCAATTAATAATCAAGCAATCAAATATAGTTTAATAACTCTATCAATTACAATCCAATTCACGAAATGTTATCCAAAAGTTTCGGTATTTTAATAATTTTATTCCTGATCATTCAATCACTGTTTGACGTAATGGTACATACACAGGTGCGCGTCTATTAATAGAGAGTACTTAAATTTAACTTACCGATTAAATGATTGGACAAGTTGATTAATCTCGTGTCAAACAGAATCATTCTGGTAAGATAGTATTGTTGGACAAACAGATGGTCGTTTGGAATTTCTCGATCACTGACAAAGTCGAAAATTACACAGGAAATTTCATGGTATTTCTCCTGTTTCCTAATCTAAGCTTCGCGTGCTGTTGTTCGTTTATTTTGTTCGGAGAAAATAGAAAGAAACGGCAGAAACCACAATTTTGCGAAAATTAAGGACAATCCTCGTATTGTCGAGGGTCGAAAGATGGTTTGTGGGTTACTGGAAAGGAATTGACTGATTTATGGTCGCGTGCGAGTATCATATCGAATCGATTATCTATTCAAAGAGTTTATAATTTTATGCTCGATATAGATAGTTTGAGATGCTACGCTCCAATTCGAAATTCGTATTGTTCGTGTGTAACGAAGTGAGGATGAACACGTGTATTTTATAACGGTATTCGAAGAATACGGGAAGAAATCAATTTTATTCATTTATCAATGAAGAGTACAGAGGAATACAAATTTATTGTTACAAACGATATGTATTTCAATTAATTATTTGCATTTTAATTCGAATTTTTACTTAAGCAAATTAACTTTCTAATTTGCATATATATTCCAATGAATAGATTATAAATATAAATTACCTATTTATGCAAATAAATTCTTCCATTCATAAATTGAATAATATTTGTTTGAATTAAATTCTTCTTATTAATCTGATATTTTCTTTTTCTACTTTGAAATATCTTTTTTTTAATAAAATGAATTTATAATTCATTGTAACAATTTAAATTTAATTTTTATTATATTCAATTCCTACAATCTCGCTTCTACTTCTATTTTTGTTCCCATAAAACCATAAATCAAATATTGAAAACGACAAATCTTCAATCCGAATTGGCCAGTAACACGACTCGAAACATGACGTATGATTTATTAAAGTCGTGAAAAGTCGCGATTCATCCCCCATGACCGCACGATGCACGAGCACACGCCCGTCTATTAATAGAGGGGACGTTGCTCGAATTACTGAAACTGATAAAGCTTGTCGAGAGGTAACTGAGTAATTCAATTCTCTGTGACGAGTTTGCAACGTAGTTCCACCGATTCGTCTCCCTTCAACGCCGGTTTTTCACCTTGATACGCAACCCGACCTAGAATTAATTGTTTCCATGGAAGTGGGGTGCGCCGGATACCACGTGCATTATGCTCTATTTGTTCGCGGTTTATTAATCTACGTCTCGATCGTCTAATTCTCACGGATTCCGATGCTATCGATGGCGTTTGACGTGTTTTCTAATGTGAAAGTTTCGTGAAAGTTTGTCAAGTGAAAAGTATGCTGTTTTTATACAATTTATATTTTTAGATGCCAATACTTGTGACTCGAAATTTTTGTAACTGAAAAATAATTCTTGAATAACGTCTATATAATATGATATAATATCTTAAATGAATTTTTGTTATAAATAAAAAGAAGTTATTGATATATGAATGAATTCTTTGATATAATTTTTATTTATTATTATTATTATAGTACTTACGATAAAAACAATCAAAGAAAATCGTTGATAAAATTCTTCAAACGTATCGCTTTAAGTTTAGACTTCTCGATCTTTGGCTTCTCGACAGTCTTCGACGTCATCAAACTCTTTTTATCTGCTTAGTAAGATTCTCTCTTTTACGCACATCAAAGCTGCTAAATATACCCTAGCTATCATCGAGTTTTTACTACGAAAAAAGATCCTCTTCATTCCTCACAGACAGATTAAATAACCATATAATTAATTTATGAATTTTCCAACAATAGAACATTAAAGTTGGCAGGAAATTAAAGCAAAATATAAACATCACAATCACTATAATAAACATTTATTCTTGATAATATAAAATTACATGTTTGCAGTTAACATGAGACACATATCATACAATATTTCACAATAACAAATATGCGTATTCGATACGATACGACGGTTGCGCAAAGACGACTATTATCATTAATCCGTGCGGGCAATGAAAGTCATCGTCATCGAATCTTCGAACGCATCTAATTTTTATTTTTTTCATTAATTCAATAGAGAAAAAAAAAAAGAAAAGAAAAGAACACAAAACTCGAGCTTTGTAATTGCATCTCGTTATGCAGCTACAGTTAATGATTGTACTACCGTAATAATCAACTAGAATCTAAACGATCGCTCTTGAAATATAGAGGTGTTATTTAATTTGATTAAAATCATCTACTGATTTGTAAATATTTAGACGAACAATGAAATAAAGAAAGAACAAAGAAAAAATTAAAGAAAAGATACAAATGTAGCAAGGGAATTAGAAATGAGGAAAAGAAAAGTTATTATAGCCGTCACATCAGAGGAATTTTTCTCATAAATAGCACGGGATAACTATATTACAAAAATATACATGTGAATCGTTCGTCGATATTTCACAGAGCTTATGGAAATTCGACGTTATTTTTTATCAGTGGTCGATAGAAACAGCTGTTTTCTTGCGACTTTTCATTTCATTGAATTTTTCCTATCATTATGCTAATTACATAAATACACGTTTATTTACACATTCCTCTCTGTACGTTCTACGGTTAGTAGTCGATTGGAAATATATCGGCGTTACTTGAGAAAAATATCTTGATTTTTAAATTAAAGCGCACGAAGAGATAATCTTATGCAAAATAAGGACTAATACGTCCATTTTCGATTGTACCATTTGTCAGTTTTATATACAGAAAAGAGGGGGATTTAGTGTCACGGTCGCGTGTCACCGGTAGCTAATTGGTCAACTATAACTTATAAAATATAGCCGAGAGATGCTATATTCAAGTTAGTCAATGTGGTCCCATTAGCCACTTCCCCATTTTGGTTTCACACGCAACTGAACTTGACACCTGAAACATTATAATTTTAATCGTTAGATTGAGAATTAAGAGATGACAAAATAATGTAAATAAAATTATTAAGAAAAATTTCATTGAATTTATCTTTTTTTTTTCTTAATTTTAAAATATATAATCTATAAAATTATAATTTTTTTCTCTTTTTTTACCAATATTAATCTGAAAAACAATTAGACGCTTAATAAAATTTATGAAAGATGGAAAATTGTCGAGAAATTATTGACGTTTACCTAATTATAATCATACGTATAAATAGTGTAAGCTAAATGCGGATACCGTCGTCACTGGAGTAGCAGTTATGGCAGTGTAATTTTTGATTTCTAACGCGAACGTCTGTTCCCATTAATCCATCACCAAGTCGAACGTGACACACGCAGCATTTGAAACATTCCATATGATAGAACAATCGTAGACTCTCGATAATCATCGCGGCACCTCGACCTGACGAATAATAAAATTAATTGTTTTATTTTATTTTCCTGAACAGAATTAAAAGAATAACGAGAATTTAAATAATATTCACAAAATTTCAATATAAATTACTATTTTATTAAAAGATTTTTTACATACCTAATTCATCTCCACAATGAGAGCATTTCTTTTTCCCGCTAACACTTAACATTTTCTCCTGGTTCTCATTATTCATCGGCGGTGATTGTTGAGGTTTCTGTGGTTGCATAACATGTTGCTGCGATTGATGTTGCAACGCGGACAAATGTTCCTGGCTAGTACTATGTTCCAATCTGTAAAATTAAATGAAAATTTATTTATTTCGTTTTGATGCTTTCATTTCAGATACAAATTTCTTTTTGAATATTAACCTTCTTCTAGGTGGAAGAGGCTTTTCCTGCGCTCTGTTTTGCACTCTTTGCGTAAGAGTCTGTATGATAGAATCGGGTAATGGTTTACTGTCTGTCCTTGTAGGAGCAGTCACATAAGGAACCGACGTTCCTGTTATGTGCATTTGAGGTTTTCGCCCTGGCGATCGTTGATTCTTTTCATTGATCCTTCTTTGTTCCGCTTCCTGTACATAATATCGAAACGTCATAATTTAAAAAAAAAAAATCGTATACAAATTCGAAGAATGATTTTGCACAATTATTAAATTTTAAGATATTTACCTGAATGAGCCAATGATGGTGATAATTCAGATCGTGAGCACCTCGTGGCACGTCGCTCTTCCTCCGTTGCACCCATTGATCGCTTTGAACGATTCGTGGCCGAGGAACTGCACTGAGCGCCTGCAACGTTTGCTTGCTCATCTGTTGTCCAGCATGGCTCGATAAAGTCGTAACTGATGCACTGTGTCTCAAAGGTGTATCCATTTGCTGAGGAATCGAATCAGCCGAAGGAATCCTGCTGCTCCTGTACATTTTATAAAATTATCCACTTGTTAGACGATTACACATTTTCATCGTTGTTTCGTTGTTATTTAAAATTTTACTCGATTGGAAAAATTCTTGTACAATTTTTAATCATCATGTTTTATTGATATTATTAAAATATCATTGTAATATCGAATTTTTTTGATTATTATATTATAATCGTTGCTTATTCGTTAAAAAAAAAGAAAAATTGTGATGCAACTGGTATATTGACTGTTCAAAGATTACCAATGACTGCCCTCGTTAATCAGAAATTGCAAACAGTATGTCGCCCAGAAGATTACATCAGACGCAACAAAGCGGAAAGTTTTAACAGGAAATTAAGTGACACGATTAGTGGTACTATTCCGTCTCTAATTTACATTTCCTGTTAGTCGCGATCTGTTTAAACGCTGACATAACAATGCGCTATTGCAATTTCGTGAACTGCATAGCATTGCATCTGTTCTATGTAATTCAATACCTCAACCATTGAAATTAACAGAATGCGACATGATGGATAAATATACATGGTATGATTCTTACCTGATAGTTACATCTCTTTGTCTCTGCTCGATCAAACGCAATGGTTTAGCCGGTGGTATAGGAGGAGGTGGAGGTCTTCTTCTTTGCACGTCTTGAAGCTGAAGATTCGGCATAGACGATCTATAATTTACAGGTGGTTGATTCTTGAACTGTTGGATATTGTTCGCGGAGCTGTGCGCAACATCCTGCAAGGATTTCCACTGCTCTTGCAATTGTTCTGCCAACTTAAGCTGCTCTTGTTCACGATACGCCAAATTGTTTCGTTGACGTTTCAACTCTTCCTGCTGCAACTGCAGCAGTTCCCTTTTCACTCTGAGGACTTCCTATTCCAAAGAAAAAAAAACTGATTATATTTTATTTATTTTAAGAAACGTATACATGTTTTAATATTTATCTTGGTTTTTTTATAAAGCTTGGAAAATAAAATGTATAATTTTTGCCAGGTTGCCTCGTCTTTGTTAGAAGCAAGCATCGAGAGAAAATGGTAAACGTTCCCTTACCCCGTAAGCAAACTCGTCTTCTTCATCGTTCGTACCAGCACCAACGTATGACGTGTTCTGCGAATAATTATCAACGATTCTCCCGTTAACAGTGCGATATATTTAATTTACAGCATGCAGTATTAGAAGAATAGTTAGCATTTATTTTTCAGCGAAAATGAATTTTTAAAATAAGAAATGAAACAACATATTTTTCACAATAATAATAAATGAGAAAATTCGTTTGCTTGTCTTGAAAATTTAAAAAAAAGAAAAAAAATATTTAAAATTCAAATCTCTCATACCATAAACCAAATTATACATCTCACTCCAAGTGAACAACATTCCAAAGCATCCGCACCCACATAACAAAACCCCTCAAAAAAAAAGGATAATCAAAAGAAGAGAAATTAAAAAAAAGAAAAATCCATACCTCTTGTTCTCGAATTTGGTTTTCCATATCCCTGATACGTTTCTCCTCGATACGTCGCGCATCGGCAACCCTTCTCTCCTCCTCGATTTCATTCTGAATCCTCAGCTTTTCTGCTTGCGCCCTCAGCTCCTCTTCCTGCCTCTTCTCCTCGGCGCGTTTCGCCTCGGCCTCAGCCCGCGCCACCTCCTGTTGTCTCGCGGTCTCCTCCTGTTTCCGTATGTTGTCCTCGTTTTTACGCAGCGTCTCCTCCTGTCGGCGCAGAGCCGCTTCCTGGGCGCGCTCCCTCTCCAACTGCATCTTCTCCTCTTCGAGCTCGCGCAGCTTGTGCGCCAATTTTTCGCCCAAGTCACTGTTTCGTCATGAATTTCAACTCGATTAACAACTCAATTGTTGATGGGCTTGCCCATCGCAAAAATTGTCTACGTAGTATACAATGCTTGTAAGGTTTGAGAAAACGTGGAGAGCCAGCAACAACGATAATAGCGATAGCGATAGTCAAGCGATAGTCAGGAAAAGACCAAAATTCATAATAAAAGTGTTTATTTTATTCATCACCGTATTGTACATTATTGATCCCGTGATACAAATTCATTGTAGTTTCATTATTTACATACACAATTCACTCTTATAGAAATATCGATATATATATACGTGGTGATCACCGAAGAGGCCGGTTATTATTTTTATCGGTTTATTTGTTTGAAAAGTTATTGTAAGAAGAGAAACACTTGTCTGAGAAATAATCATGTTATTGGCAACTTCGGTCTCATCGACATGCTTCCAAGAACTACAAGAAATTACAACAAAAATTTTCGTGCAAATATCCAAGGAGAGATACGAAGAAAGAGTGCCCACCATGTCAAGCACCTGTTACTTAATTTAAAAAATTAAAGAGAAAAGGAAGATAAGAATCGTCTACCTACGGCAAGATATTCAGAAAAATTGCACCTGAACCGTTCTCAAGGGACAGGGAGAAGAGATATACTATTCGTCTATAGAGAAGCTACGGTCGATCTAATGGATTGTACTCCAACCATCCTCCGTGATTTAAAATTACACCCACATCGTACAAATAGTTTCGGGGAATTCCTACCTGTTCATCTCACGATTGTTCTCGTACCGCCACTGCTCCTCTTTCTCGAGGACTTCGATGATCTCCTTTTCTTTCTTCGTGATCTCGTCCTCTTCGGAAGACGTGACACTCGCCCCGAACGGTTCGCTACTTTGGCGACTGTGTTGAGACATATCGGGGCTGACAGGCTGTTTAGTCCAATCCTCGGCGTGGCCCAATTCCACGCCCGAATCTCTCTCGTGGCTGGAGTCTTGCTCGTAATTGCTGTCCGTGTCGTAAGAGCGACGATGAAGCTGCTCGATGCGTCTCTCCTCCGCAAGGATCGCCGCCATGTCTGGCGGTTTTGTCAGGGTCAACTCGCGTTCCAGCTCGTCATCGTTTACCTGGAAATTGAAGGTGATGATGATGCTCGTGGTGGAAAGTTTGTCGAAGAGATTCCAGATATGCTTTTCTCGATTGTTACAATGATTATGAAGCAAAGGTGTAAATATTCATTTTCAAATGTCATATCATTTTGATATCAGAATGATGGTCACTTATTTAATCTCAATTCTTTAAAAGTTTAATTTTTATTAATTTTTTTTTTTAATTTTAAAATATTTTTTATCTGCCAAAGATATGCGATCAACATTAAAATTGTTATTCTCTCACCAGTTTCTTATTTTATATCACGTTTTATGATTACGATAAGGAAGCTTGAAAATCTAAAATTTTCGTTCGTGGAAAATTCATGCTTATAACATATCGCGGTCGATGAACGAGCATGCGGAATCTCATCAGCGCATAATTACGATTGTGAATTACGTAAATCCATTCACGTGCTTCAATTAATATCATTAAACGATGTTACGCCCGCGATATGATCTTTTGAAACGTGGGTGCGCCAACGAAACACACCAACTTCCGGAAACAAGTGAAAGCCATCCAACCAGAAGGAGGTGGAAACTCGTGAGAAGAAACGAAAGTTACGATCCAAGTGTCGACATTTCTGTCGTGGAAAAAAAATTTCAACTCTCGTACGCACTTTTTCGCGTTCGAATATTTCAATTTACATCGAAGTCGAGAATAATTCAAAGCGAGAATTAAAAACAAAACTGTACCCCTTCGATTCCAAGGAAATCAGAGCGTCTTGTGCGTAGTTCCTTCTTTATTCTGCGGGTGGAGTTCAATCTCTTGAGAGGTTCCACCGGAAGATTCTCTTCGTCACTGACGTCTACCGGAGGCGGCGGTGGTTTCTCCTTTGGTGGTTCCACGCTGGTCGGTGGTCCCAGGGGAAACGCCAACCCTGTCACTATTTCCTCGTCACTGGATAGATTCAATGGCAGAATCTGTCGAAACAAAACAAAATCTTTAGAGAAATGAAAATTTATCGAAATTGTCACAATAACTTCTTTAGAAAATTTCACACGATCATTTATTGTCACTTTTTTAATTTCAAGATTCCTCTTCCTTAGATAATTAAAAATTGAAACGAATTATCTACAGATTTATATTACACTTTTTCATCATTTCCATTACAAAACAATCTTCATTAGCGATGCAACCTGTTTAGAAAGGGAAAAACAGAAACAAGGGACGAATAAAGAACCATTGAATGCAAATGGCCAAACTTTCAATCCGATTCGAATTGAGGTGGAAGGAAGCATCGTTCTCCACCTTACCTGTTTCGAGATGGGCGATACGGGGCTGAGCAGGCTGATCGTGTCCACCGTGTTCGCCATTTCCTGTTTGCCAAAGGTCAAGGTCGTCGGTCTTTCAGGCGCGGAGACGTTCTCAGGTGCATCGTGCACGTCGATCGCCTCCTCGATCCGTGGCTCGTACGTCTCGATCTTCACGTTCATCGCCGCTTCCTTTTCCTCGTGCTCCTCGTGTTCGACTGGCTGGCTCGGCTGGCAAATCACCGCCGCCTCCTCGTCGTCCGCTTTCTCGATAACGATCGGTTCCTGAAGAGACGCGGCACCGCGTTATTCGTATTTCTCGTGTATACCGAAACGGGCTCGCGGCTAGGCCACGAATTTTGCAACGCCACATTCTATGCAAATCGACGCGCTACGCCCGTGGACCAGGGTTTCTCAAACTTTCGCGATCTGTGGCCATCCTTTTCCCTTTCTTTTCTTGATTACACTTGGTTGTTATTATCATAGATTCGAAATTATTGTTGGAGATGTATCGCGTAAATATTATTCGACGATGGCCGCGAATTTCTTTGTAATAATTTTTCTGGGAATTTTCTGTTTTGACTTGAACGATGTTATTTGTATAATCGTCGAACCAGATTCGATAAGGTTTGTTGACATTTGATAACTATTCCGTTAATTTTGTGATTTTTTCTTCGTGAATTCTGGGTTTTAGTTTAGATTGGTTATTTGATTTTTCTATTTTTTTATTAATGATTATAAGTAGTGGCAAGAAGGGAAGGCTTGGCTTTTGGTTTCTGGTTATGAATTTCAATTTATTAAAATGTATTATAGTGGAAATGAAAAATTGTTTTATACGTACGATGTTTAAATTTATGTTAAGTTTGTTTATTTCGATTAGTGTTGCGAAGATATTAAGAAGAATAAGTGTAAAACGAAGCTTGAGAAACACTGGATTTCGAGCAATAAGTTGAGAGGCAACTGTGGTTTCGGATGGAAGATTATTTTGCATTCTCGTTTGGGCCTCGTTTTGCTTTTTTATATTCTATAGACGCAGATGTACTGGTGTTCATGCATAACTATTATGATTTTTTTTTCCACGTGCAAAGATAAACACGAGACGAGAATAATTAATCTATGAAAATTGACAATTAAACTAATCAATATCAATTAAACTTATTCACATCAAACCAGATAACCAAGTTATAAAATAAAAACAGTTTTAATTTCACTTTGAAATGTATAAAAATCCGAAATTAAACTTATTCACACTAATAAACAACAGGTATTAATTTGGCTAATCAAATAATTCGAATAAAATTTTTCTCAAAATGAACGCATAAAAAGAATCAAATGAACTGAAGAATTTTTGTGTTAACTGTGTAAGTTTCTATAATTAATATTAATTGTGCTATTTTGTAATTAGAAAGACGTTTAGTCACAATAATTACATGCATCAGCCGCAAGAAGCACTCGTCTTCCATCATGCATCGGACTTACTATTTCGTAAGTTTTCGTGCAAATATCATATAAATGTCGTCAACTAAAGTGCGAGCAAATAAATGATAAGATCTTTCGGCAATAACGATAACGTTTATCTAAATCTTCATAGGTAGAGTGTAATTGATAAAAGAGTGTGACTATATAAATCCTGTATTCCCTATTCTGGATTAAAAAGTTCAATGAATAAACTTTTCAACGAAGATATTTTCAATATGATTTATTTTTATTCTTTCCAGAATAAAAATTTAATACATATATTAATAATTATATAAGAGAAATGATAATAGAAAAAATAATATAAGAAAAAGATAAAATCTTTTTCGTATCATTTTTTATAATCTTTTATAATCCAATTCAAGATAAATGGATCGAATAAACTTTAAAGTAAAGAAGAAAAATAATATATCTCTTTATCGGAAATAAATATAATTCTTGAGGTGTTTAATACAAATATCATTAAAATAGATTAGAATAGAAGAGAATTTAGATATCGAAAATGAAATATATATATAAGAAATAATATAAAGCTGTTCGAAAATTTGCCATCAATTGTATTAATTCCATTTATCTTTTCATTTCGAAATAATCAAACATAAATAAAACAACGAAGAATGTAAATACTTGTATTATACTTCCAAAGTTTTCGTAAAAATTTAATCTTATTCAAAAAACAATGCAAATGATTTAAAAAAAAAATCATCTGTTCTGCGATTTACTCTGAACCGGATGCTGCGATAAAGATGTTATCACGAGAAACTACCGATTTATGACTATTTGAAACGGTGCTAAGAGAAGATAATTAATAATTCAAAGTGCAAAGATCGCCGGGTTTACGGCGAATGGAAGAGTTTAACGTCACTGTAAGAAGAACATGTTTGGCAACCTCAGAAGACTGATCGCCAATCGTTTAATTACTTTCTGCATGATTTCGCTATGACCCGATGGGTTATCAATTCTTGTCGAAATGGAAATAACTCGAGTTGGAAATACAATTTTAATAATTCCATTATTTTTTCGTCAATTCATTATTATATAATGCATTCAAGTGTATGCTGCAATCTAATGTGTAAAAATTATTAAAAAAAAAAAAAAAAAAAATAAGGAAAGTTTGTGCATTAAAATGAAAACTAAGAAAATCGATATAAGGCTGGTAAACTGATAAAATCAATTAAGCTAGAGCCATGCATCGGATCGATAGCAAATATAAAACTAGCGATAAGCGGGATAACTAAATATCCGGTTGTAAAGGAGACGCATGACCGTGGGGCTTTTATCGCTAACTTCAACAATCGAAAGCACCGTCTTACCTCTTCACGTTAGCAGAGCTTAGGTTCATGACAGTTGCTCGAAATTGACGATGATCATTGACGATGCTACAGCAGACAAGCTGGTAAAAGATCGAATCAAATTTCTACCGCTGGTAGAATAATTACTCTTCTCGAGGAAACAATAGGAAATGACAACGTCCAACGTTTTTGAGAAATCAAGCAACCAATATAAATCTTACGCGAAGAGGGAAAAAATTAAAATTAAAGAAAAAAAATAATAACAATGATAAAAAAAAATTGTAATGCGAATAGAAAAGATTTTCTTATTGCTCTACAAAGTCAATGGAGTCTCGTTATTAATGAAATTATTGATATTAATAATAACGAAAAATAATGCAAGGGAGGGGACCAAGCCAGATATAATCGATCAACAAAATAAAAAAAAACTTTTTAAAAAATTAATTTAAAACCAGATGAAACGTCACACGATTCTCTTACCTCCTTCATTGCATCGTACGTCGATAAAATAAGAAACGCGATACTGGAACGATTAATCGTAACGATTTACAACGATTTTTATCGGTTACGAGCATCTTTCGTAATAATTAAATGTCGCTCTGACTTTTGATCCGTGGTTCACGGGGACGACACTTTGAACACATTCGTCGATAGACTGCAATTGTGTGTCGAGTCGTGAGCTTTTGCGATGTTGTATCGTAAAAATAGATAAAGATAAATATTTACGATTGGTTTAACTTTAACTCGATAATCGGTAAAAAATTACAAATCTAGATTCACGATGGCTCGGGTTGTCTCGTGTCACAAATCAGTGGAAGACAGAAAATTTATACCGTTTCCCCTTTATTTGAGATTCAGGCGTTTCGAACATACTCCAGCAGAATTTCCATCATTTATTTCGAACAATTCAGGGTGACGAAGACAATGGTGATCGGTGTGTTGAAACTTTAAACTCGATATTTAATTTCTCGGCAGTGTTTCATTTGAAAGGCGATAGCGATTCGATAGCGATTATTCGTGTATTCGTTGAAGCGAAATCAAGATTCTTTGAAGCAAAAGTGAACCCTATGTCTATCCAACTCTTCTCGTTCTTCGTATGAAATTTTCATAAAAGAAATTTTATTGTACCGAAATGAAATGATTATTGATCTTGAGGGAAACCTCGATTCATTCGTGCTTCAAAAAATCTCATTCTCAATGAAATTTCAATGTTCACGATGAAAATATAACACGAGAAAATTTCTCATCTCAGTGAATTTTATATTTTATCAATTCAATTTCTCCCCCTCTCTCTCTCTCTTTCTTNTNTTCTCTCTCTCTCTCTCTCTCTCTCTCTCTCTCTCTCTCTCTCTCTCTCTCTCTC